AACAATAATTAACGACTTGTCTGATCTTTACACGTTTTGTCGAACACAAATAAACACACGTTTTCTCAGTACACTGCCCTACACTAGCCTTCGTCACTTAGGACACACGTGGAGAGAAACAGATGATTTTCTACAAGCTATTGGAGGTATGACATGTAAAACAAATCACAAATGGGCAGATATTTTAGTTCATAATGATTTTGATGAATTCACAAAGGATGAATGAGGTAATTTTTGCAGACAGAGGCAGAGACAAATCTGGAGATCACATCCAAAGCGTTTTTTTTGTTTTTTACACTCATTTTTGCAGGAGGAAAGCGAGGTGATTCGTTTTGGGATTGTTTCCCTGAGACTGAATTAGAAGCAAAGCAGTTTGTTTTTGAAGAATGTTCAAAAACAGAAGCCTCGTTTACAGCAGGCGAGGAAAAATGTTCCGTTTATGCTCATTTTGGCACGTTAAAAGGTGTCAAAATACACATTATTTTTTTGCGCATTTTACAAACTCATTTTTGATTTTTCTTTTACTTCAGAAACATTAGCAAGATTTATTGATGCTCGTTTTTATGAAATAACAAAACTGAAAAAAATTGACACATCATTTGTTCGTTCAGTGGACTCGATCTGCGTCGTTTCGGCGCGAAATATACTGCCAATGCAGGACGACCATATTTTTTAGGCCACGAGAGAGAAGATGTAGTAAAACACAGAGAACAATTTGTCAAATATTTTATTGAAAACAAAAACCATTTTTATTCATTAACAAATGACCCGGTGCCACAGTGGATTGAGCCAAAAGCTCAGAAATTGATTCTGCTCTGTAAGGAAACATTTTTTCATAACTGTACAAATTTTTAACGCATTTTTTTTAACTTTTTTTGACAATAGGCCACGATGAATCAACCTACAAAAGTGGCGAAATTTCGGCGAAACGCTGGATTATGAAAGACAACGCGCCTTTTTATAATAAGGGTCGAGGAAGGAGTATTATGGCGTCAGACTTTTTAGTAATGCACAAAAGCGGTCCATTTTTTAAAGACTACAGAGAAGTTTTGACCATGTTTTTTTCTAGTATGTGCAAAGATAATATTATCGGACACCGAAAAATCACAAACACAAACCTTGATGATTAGAAACAGTATTTTTTATTTTTATAGTCTTTTTTGTACAGTTTTTCACTTAGTATTGCAAAGATCAGATATTTTTTGATGTGTTTTAGGATAGAACTATTTTTTTTATGAATTTTTCAAACTCATCAGTAAAATAAAGTTAGATAAAAGTACAAATAATAATTAAAGCTTTTTCATAGCAAAGAACTTGCCTAAAACCCTCCAGTGACCCTCCAAAGTGCCTCTAGAAATCTCGAAAGTATTTTTATCGGATTCTGCATTGATTTTAACCTATTCTACACTATCTTGATATTTTTTGAATCAAAAACAAATTTTTTATTAGCGAACGACCTGAAGGATTGCGGGTCTAAAAAATGTAGGCTCTATATCTCAGCACAGGAAAAAGGTTTTTTCAAAAAAAAACCGTACTTTTGTAGCCCACGATGAGCTGGTTCGAATGGCATATGAACGAAAATTTTAGGTCTTCAAGCAAAAAACTAGATAGAGTTGCAAAATAAACCTCGGATGGCCGACCTGCCCCCTTTCAAAAATTCTGTATTCCGGTACATCGTGGCCTAAAAATCTGTGAACCATCTTTCTAGACTCAGTTTGACATAAGGAATCCGAATATCATGTTCAAAAAATCGTAGGGATCAATGGGAGAAAAGTACAAGCGATTTTTTGAAAAAATTAGGGTTTTCGAGGTTTTCGACCGCCCATCAGTATTTCGCATTTTCTCCCCCTAAAACTCAATAAAATTGAACTAAAAAGGAGATATTCGTGATCAGCACAAAATTCTGCGTCGAATGGTGTCCTTTTAAGGGAAAAATGAAGAGTGCTGAAATTTTGAATTACCGGCACCATATATTTAGTGAATATGTAGCGAACAAGCAAAAAATATATACTAGAACAATAGCAACAGTAGACTTGAGAAAAGACAGTTTTATGATTTCTTTTATCTACTTTTATAAAATAAAAAACGGATTTCCGAATATCATAATGGTTTTAGCATATGGGACTCCGCAGATCGTGTTTTCGGGAAAACCATTTTTTCAGAAACTCTAAAAAGTAACTAAAACCTTTCTTAATAAGACATACTTGTAGTCCGCAAATTTCTAATTAAAATGAGACATCTCCCAGCTCTACACCACCTTTCTTTGCAAAGTCATAGAGTTTACAAGAAAAGCCAAGAAAAAGATTGACGGCTAGAAGAAGTCGAGAGAAAAATTAAGTGACGACAATCCAACGAATGTCTTTTCTAAGAGAGTTACCAGAACAATAGAGGGCAGCTAAAACCGGACTTTAAATCATGACTATAACACCACAGCTGGGGTCCACGTGGCCCCATAATCTAAAATTCTGAATTCTGCCCTTAAGACATATTGATAAACTTTAGAAAGGTTCTTGTGCATGACACTATACCAACGATTACAGAAGAAAGTGGCTTGAAAGGTTTAATAGTTACGAAGCGAGAAACAAAACATTGCAAAGTGGGTCCAGGTGGATCCCACGATAGCTACGAAGGGTTAAAGAATGCAACGGTTGTAGACCCATTTTTATCATCGTTCCCAACGATGTTAAACTGGAGTAATGGTGTTCGTTAATGTTATGTTGTGATTATGGAGTATGAATAGGCCCTAGATCTTTCGGATTTGTTAGCAGCCTATGCACAGACTAAGAGAAAATCATCCCAGTTTCTGCCAATGAAGATGACCGTTTGTTTGAAAGCATGACAGTAGTAGGCATGTACAATACAATATATTGGGTCCCAGTATTATTGCATGCCCAATAATATTGGCCACCCCAACGTATTAGACAATTACTCTCAGCCTGCAAACATCTCCTGGAAAAACTGGCCAGTATGTCTAGAAAAGACATACTGTCTAGTCAGATTTTTGCTGTCTCCATTTAAATACGCGACTAATCTACGATGTTTCTGCAAAGAAATGAAGCCCGTTGATGGTACCTATCCACCCAAAAGATGAATCAATTCGCTCGAATACTGACAATATGTGAGGCGTCACTAGCACAATGGTCATCGATACGCCATATCTCTCCATTACGAGACCTGTTTGTGATATTTTCAGGGAACGTTGTGCCACTATGGGGGAGTATACCCTGAAAGTTTCAGCTCGATTCATTGAAATCTTATAGAACAACGGGGCTACTCTTTGAAAGATTGCGAAGCACACCATCTTCGAGAGTTGCTGGATCCATGGTTTTTCTATAAACTTATGTCCCTCGGAGTTCTCTATAGATTGGTGAAAACCGTAGGTCGCTTGGTGGTTGGATTCTCGAGTTATTCGCATTACGCCCACCCCTCTTTACTTCTGGCGCGGACAATAGTTTTGTTTGATGACACTCTGGGCTATCTAAAAATATAAGAAAATTAATATATTTACATTTGGAGTTTTTGACCGTGTTTTGCTTTTAGAAGATGGATTCAGCGTGGTCGATTACCTATGTTTCCATTCGTTGTTGAAATTACTACATCTACTGAAATAATGATCCTCGGACTCTCAGCCAATCCGATACCACGCCTAAAAGACAAAAAACTAAGAATTCGTTTAGTTTCCATTTTGTACATTATCATTTGAATCTCTCGGATTTGTATAAAGAAATGATAAATCATCCTTCAACACTTTGTCTATATTCACCACTATCTATCACGTAATTTTAATTTTGTTTTTCTCCGATAAGCTGATTCTTCTTGAAATTCATTGACTTTTGTCAATATATATTCATTTATGGGTTCTCCAAGTTTCAATGCATGCTCTCTTAATGCTTGAAAATCATCTAAACTGAGTTCACCATCATCGTCATCTGGATTATGGTCATTGTTAACTTTCTTATTATTACTATCACTCTGACAAAGGTAATTAATGAAACTATAATTATAACGTGGTGTAGATAAAATTACCGTTTTAATATCAGGTTATTTGTTAAAGCTAATAAATTAATATAGCTTTTAGTTTTATTTTAACGTCACAATAATGGCTCAGAGTTTGGATATGCTTGAAAAGTTTGCAAAAGCAAAACAGCTCTTTGAAAAATTCAAGCTCAACAAATAACTCAAAGTCCACCAAAAGTAAAAAATCAACTATTTAATTTATTTTAAACAACCTGTTACATATAAAAACGGACAAATAAGTATAGATGAATTAATTGAAAGAGTTCAAACTTTAGGATTTAGTAATGTTAATAAACGGCAAGTTAAAGAAAAGTTAAAAGAGGATAGTAATAATAGTGAAGAGGATGTCACTGTTTAGAGAGGATCCACAATAAGAAATAACTTCAAAAGAAAGAGATTAGATTGCGTGATCAGTAAACTATAGACGTTAAAGTTAGGATTCTCGTTTGTAGAAAAGACGAGAAATGAATCCGAAGTATTTTATTTTTGAATTATTTTTACAATTTTTCTCTTTGATAATAATTTCACGGAAAGTGCAATGTGAAGTAACTGTGTCACAGTGCTAATGTCACAGTTAACATAAAAAGTTGAATAACGATATATGTTGCAATAGAATTGAAGTTGTGTAATACCATCACTCTGTGAAGAGAGTAGGAGAAGAAAACAAAAAGTGTTGCGTAACAGGTGAATAGACTAGTGAAACTTCAAAGTAATATTTTACAGATCTGTGAAAAGCATCGATTCGATAGCTCGCCTGTACACAATATAAAAACAAGCATTGAGAACATAAAAGTGGCTCGAAAACGTCAAACAACACCCTGTAGAGCCGGTCTGGTTCCGATTTATATGTCATCAACACGTAATTCCACTGTAAACTTGATGAAAAAACTTTGAAAGTACGCTGTTGAGGTCTCCTTTTCGTCCACTATTGTTTCCCAATGATCTTTCAGCATTAAATATAAAAAGATCATTCTTCTGCTATCCACATTCTTTTGTTCGTCAAATAAAAGAGTAAAGGAAAAAGCAAACAAACCGATCAAGATTAGAATCTACGTTTTTCGCGTGAATAAATAAACACAAAAGTTACATAAATCCATGTTCTTCTTATGCTTTCCATACACGTCATTTAACTTTTGTCATGTGACAATTCCCCGGCAGTACTTTTGTTGGTAACTGATGTAAGGCGCCAGCAATTCAAGCTTCAAGTAAACATTTTTTTTTTGTTTATTTATATATGATTCGATAGAGCATGAGCAGCTGGTTTTTAGCTTTTGGAAACATTTCTTCTGGCCGAAAAAACTTAAAAACTTTAACAGGAGCGTTTATCTCGAAAAACACGTGATTTCTGAAAATATGCGACATTTTCTGTTTTACTCTTTTTTCAGCTTATGAGGCTATTATTTTCGGATTCAGCGTTAAAAACTGAGTATAGACACGATGTTAAATCGAGTTCAACCCAAAAAGCCCTTTGATGATGGCGACTGTAACCGCACCCATCGCAATGCTTATAGGTCGTTTTTGTAAACCTATCTAGTTTTTCTGGTTAAGCGAGGAAGTCAAATATTTTATCTTGATCGATTCATCATACCACTAGCGACAAAAGTATGCATCACTTCTTTTTGCTTTTAGTTTCTGTTAAGAAAAATTATTTTCCTAAATCAGAGACGAAAAAGTCGGAAATCTGCTTGTAATCCTCAATTTTCTCAATCAGAACTCAACTTCGTTCTAACAGAAATATGATATTCGGGATCAGGATTAAAAATCGAATAGACTGATGTGTATCAGAGTTCTTTGATTTTTTTCGAAGGACATGCAGTGGTTTCTGTAAGAAAATGGCTTCGCTTTTCACTGCCCAACACTTCTGACTTTCAAAAAGTGCTCTTAATCTCCTTGAAAAAGTATTTCTTATGATTTTTCGTGACTAGTTCAATGAAGATCATTCACTTTGTTTCTCAAAATTTTCGCACGACTCCAAAGACTTTGACCAAAGTCGATACATAGAAAGATAGAGAATTTTCTGCGCTTCAAAACGAACAATTGACAAGCTTCTCGAACATATGCCCACATAGAACTGTTGTCAAAATACTAGACAGATGTCATCATTTCCACCTATCTTAGCGTTTTAAAGGAATACTTCTTTGACGTTTCTACGTAGACCCGGAATGTTTTGTATGTAGAAAGGTAGAGAACTTTTTGTACTTCAGAATAAGCTATAAATATATATAGGACAACCGGGGAAGTACTCCATAGTTATCATGATTCTTACCCATCTTGAGCCTTTAAAAGAAATCTTTTTCCACACATCTGCTTAGACCCAGAATGTTTTATACATCGGAAGCTAGAGAATTTTCTGGGCTTCAAAATGAACGATAATATTTTGTTTTAAAAATTTGCCCTCATAGATTTATTGAAAATTTTCGATAGAGAAAATCTCGATGATTATTCAACGAGTCGATTGAAGTATATCTTTATCCTACCCGAGCACTTTAAATGTCTTCGAATTTTCGCGCCGAAAAATCATCGAGATTTTCACCGAAAAATGCACTAGAAATACTGTAAATTTAAGGAAAACGTCCTGGATCTTGAATCCTTCTCTAGAAAATGTCAAAACTAGCATCAAGTGTTTAACAAAAAGACATAGACGCGTGTGGTTCCCTCTATTCGATAAACATCTTTTAGTAAGCAAAACAAATTTTGAATTCTTTACGGAAAGCAAGAGTTTTAGAGGATTTTTGAAAAGCAGATCATAATTCAAGGCCGTAAAATACAAATATTTGAGCGTTTTTCATGTGTAGGCAACTCAAGGCGTCTTCTACAAAATGGGGGTCTTTTTAGCTACTTTGAATTATGGTGAAGTTAAGAATGTAAATAGAACTTGATGTTAGTTTTGAGGCTTTCTAGAGAAGGATTCAAGATCCAGGACGTTTTCCTTAAATTTACGGTATTTCGAGTGTTATCAATATGTAAAAAAACAGAATAGACTTTACTATGAAATTCTGAAATGCTCTGAACCGATTTTGAGTGAGAATGAGTTTGTCAATTCTGCATGAAAATATTCAAAATGGATTATTTCGTCTAAAGTAGGTTCTACTACGTTCTGAAATCTTCAAATGCAAACGAACGTCACCATTAGACTCAGTGTGATCGATTACTCATGTTTCGCGTGTTTTGAAGTTCCCACAAGTCATTTCACATCAGTCCTAGGACTCCCAGAAAATTCGATGCCAGGCCTAAACGATTCAAGATGTGAATCCCACGTGACTGCCACTTTGAAGGGGACGCTTCGGGCTACCTACCGATGAAAAAAGCTCAAATATTTGTATTTTAGACAAAATGCATGCTAGAGAAGCGTCAAAACATCTTATCATTAATTCAATTTTGACCATCTTTCGTCAACATTACTCCTTGAGAACAGTGTTAAAAAACATCAATTTACGACCACGGAAAGTCGAAATCGATGGTAAATGAACAGTCCGTATTGGTGTATATTCCCAACAGTAATGACAAATCGAATTAGTAGTAACTTGTTTACCAAAGGGCATTATATACAGTTATTTGGAATAGACTAACTGAAAACAGTTAAGATTTAATGTGCTCTTGAATCGTTTGGACGGTATTCTGAAAACATTTTTCATTCGAACTTGAGTTCCAACCTAACCATTCGATAGAGAAAATTATTCTCCTTCGATATGTGTAAGGTCAAGCTCTCTGGCTTGTTTCGTTGAGGTGCTATAAGCATTTTCCTGAGAGCCTCCAAGATCAGCCAAATGACAACTGACCACCCTGAAATGAGTCAAACTGGCCACGCTGAGGCGAATGGTGATGTTTATTTTTAGTTTTAGTTTTAAAGCGAGTGAAGTCACAAAATCAAGATTTTCGAAATTCGAGTCCTCGGCTGCTATGCTGGAATT